ACGGGATTGTCTGATGCTTCGTAGCTAGACTTAACTAGTAAATTCCTTTTAGTTTGGGCCCACTAGAGCATTTCCTGATGAATCGGGCTGCTGCCTCTCACTGGGGATGGGAGCTATTTAATATGTCACTCTTTTTTCTTTGGGTGCCAGGAAACACAAAGCACCTTGGACAGCAGCCGTTCCTCATCTGTGATTTGGTGTATGCATCCTCCCCTTACTCACGTGTCACCTACGCTTTTATATTTATCTTCATCTTTCTATTATATATGGGTCTTTTATTATAAACCATCTCAAAGACTCTTTGGAAATATGTGGGGTAGATAACGTCATCATGTCAGTCCTTAGTCCTTAGTTACATAAGGGACATCACACTACGCAATGATCGAGTGAGCCAAAGTTGTTCACACACAGAAGGTGAGGTAGGTCTGCTTTCACGTCCTTCTAGATGGGAAGGTGAACATAAGCTCAACAAGTTTCTAACTTAGCAAGTTGGACTTGCCAGTGACCTTGTGCTGATGGGATAGGCATTATCTGCCTGGTTTTGGAAATAAGTCTTGCCAACTGTCTCTCTGAAACAGACCCTCCCCCACCCCAGCCCTGCCCTGACAGCATCTAGCTGCTTCCTAGAAAAGCTGGGTCCTGAAGACTCCATCCCACCCCACCCTCGAGAGGCAAGAGCTACGTGTCTGGGTGAAGCTTATCTCCTCTGTTACAGACTGCACTGGCTTGCCAGCCATGGGTTGGGTTGGGGATGAACCGCCACTCAGCTGGTCACCAGTTGCATGGCAAGCAGTTTGCCTGGACCTGAGCCTAAAGCGGCCTGAGAACCTGGTCTCCTTCCAGAATCTCAGGGGCGGAGGGCGAGGGTGTGCACAGAAGAGTGCTTTGTTTCATTTTCTGCTCTTTGTTGTTGCATAAAACCCTCCTCAGTATTAGAAAATAACATTTCCCTCCCGACCCATGATATCCTCACGTACTTCATAAGGATGGGCTGTGTCCGGTTTCCAGATTCTGGACAGGGGCCGGGAGGGCCTTTCTGGCCCAATGGCCTTCAGTGCCTAGTCCTTGAAGGCCCTGGAGCACACAGCTCTTGCATCAGACGGAAGGACCGGCCTCCGTGTAGAACATTTGCTTATGACATCGGGACTCTGGGATGAGAGAAGACAGGTCCTTGGGCTTGGGCACAGGGGTTCTGCTTATGGCTTGCCAGCCCCTTCTGGCTGTGTGCTTGGTGCTATGTCACAGAGCCATGCCAGTGGTGTGTGCAGTCCACAAGAGGTGCCCCAGTGCGAGGAGGTCACAGCTTGCCTGAAACCTGGCCCTGGCACTCAGCGGTCACACAGCCATGGTAGGCAAGTCTTGTAGGTCCATCTGTGTCTCTGATCCCCTTGCTGGGAAAAAAGGGGCTGGCTGTAAGGGGGTCCCCAGGGCCCTGCCAAGTCACATGTTTAGCACAAGTTGGTGAGGCCAGTAAGCAGTGTGCCAGGGGCCTGCAGGGACTGGGGACTGCACTGCTGTAGGGTTCCAGGTGAGTTCTCCACATCCCAACCTTCCCTTGTCTTCAGCCCACCATTGTGTCTGGTGAACATTTCTTTCAGAGTGTGAGCTTTTACAAAGAGCTCTGAGCTTTAAATGCTTTCATCATTGGGCATTGCACTTTGGATGAAACACGGGCTGCAAGGCCCAGCGTCCCCCAGATGCCACATCTGGAGGTGGAATCCACTTGCCTTTCTTTTCTAGCCTCATCTCATGCCACCAGGGAAGTGAGGCACTCACCTATGGTGCAAAATTTAAGGGCACACCTAACAAGCTCGGTTGTCAAGATAAATGAAGTTTTAATACTGTATATATATATTTTTTTCTTTTTCCGTGTCCGGCAACGGATCGCAACCCTCAGTGTTGCCCCCGTACCGGA